GCCACTTAAAAATAGCCTTTTGTAAAAGAATTGTGATATGCTTGAAAATCAGTAGAAGAGAAAACCTAAGCAAATTCTTACTTAAAAAGGCAGAGTGTAGATAAACATAACTACAAAAAGAAAGTCTGAAATTGCTGATTGAGGTAATGTTATCTAGATGAACCAACCTAGTAAGGGTCAGAACTAGTTAGTATTAGAGATGAATTACTAATTTCCCAGGATAGTATGTACTAATGAGGCTCCAACCCCAGCTGCGCAAAAGTATCATGTATGCTGTCTTCCAATCATCTAAAATGTTCAAAGTGTTTTCAAATACAAAGTTTAGTAGAGATTTTTGTCTTCCAGGTGAGAATAGCATACAGAAGGGCACCTGGAGGGATGTGAGGAAAGAGTGCAAATTATAGGGTCTAATAGGATGCCAAAGATGAACTTTCTGGACATCACTTATTTTACCTAGAGCTAATTCTGATCACATGGTTGTTTTGTTGCAAGTTGTAATTATCTCTAGTAATGGTGAATTTATTCAATTTGATATACATGTGATGTCATCCAGAAAAAGCTGAACAACCAGCTTCAGGTAGATATTCGCTTCAGTGCCTTGCTATTCTTATGATTTAACTACCCGATTATGAACTAACAAATTATTTCCCACATCCACTATGCTGATTATTATGAGGAGCTAGAATTGCTATTGCATAGTGGTTCATGGAAGACCACGTCTGGAATTAATGCCTCTGGGGTACTACACTAGAATGCAGAGTGTATTAGGAAAACGCACTAACTAGAAAGATGGGGGAAGAGAAAAGAAAACAATGGTGAGGAATGGACCTTCTAATATTTGTATATTAAGTAAAAGAGATAATGATAAACTACCAGGAATGCTCAATGTAAATGATAAGAAGGGACTTTTGAAACATAAGGGTCGATCTGTAAGGGGAAATAATTAACTCTCTTAGCAAAATCTAGTAATAAGGAGAAAGGAAAAACATTCCCAAGACTTCTTCCATAGAGAAGATGGGGTAAGGAGAAAAGGATAGGGAGGAAATTAAAGTGTTCTAAAGGTCTTATTTAAATAGTTGAGGGGGTAATGCAATGGGGAAAGAGTTCTACTTTGTTATCAAACAATGGTAGAGAAGTATGTACTTCATTCTGAGGGACAAGGAAATAATTCTTAATGGGTATTAGAGTAGAATGTCCAAATTATCAAGAAGAAAAACTGAATAGCAACTTTATCAAATTGGCAAAACTAAGGAAAAGAAAAATGTAAGAAATATAGTAGTATAAAAAATAATAAACATAAGATGGAGAAACATCCTGTATGCTTGCATGGGAGGATTTTAATATTACAAAATGTCCTTTGTCATAAATTCAAAAGAATTTTCTTTTGAAATTAGACAAAATTAGATCTGAAATGTATATAAATGAATGACTAGGAGTAGCCAGAAAATATGTCGAGAAAAGAAGACCAAGGGAAGCTTGCCATTCTAGATATCAAGGAAGGATATAGAACCATTCAAATTAAATCATTATGGTATTAATAGTGATATAAATCAAATAGATAATGGAAAAGAATTAAGAATCCGTAATAGATCCAGAAATAAAGAAGATATATATTTATATACCTATCTCAGTAGGAAAGTTATTAATTATTTAATAAATAGAATAGATATAATTGGTTGCCCATCTAAAAAGAAATGAAACTAAATCCCAATTTTGTACATAAAAATATATAACTGTAAAGAAATTCACATTTATTTTGGCAAAAGTTACCATAACCAAAACTGAAGGACAAATAACAGAATTGAAAACAATTTGCAACCTGAAAAGCAGAGGACTAATATTTGTAATGTATGTAGAGCTCTTCAGATTTAGCAAGCAGGACGTGTTAAAGAAAAAATACTCAGTGACACTTGTTAAAGATGATAAGGCAAACTTTATTCAGGACCATTAGGATAGGTAGAGGGACCACTCAAATGGGAATTTACTGTGAGGGAGAAAGATTGGGCTCAACTCTGAATACAGCATGGGCAAGTGAGAATTTATAGCCAAGGAGCAGGGTGGGGATCATTGGATGGAAAATTACCAAGAGGGAACTACAAGGAAGGGTCAGAGGGAGTCTGGGTAAACCCGCCTACAGGATCTTTGCTGGAGAGAGGCCAGGGTGGTTAGACAAGGAACCTGATCAGATATTGAAGGTAAAGGGTTCTGGTAAACTGACTTAGCAGGGTTCTTACCAAAACTAAATTAAGCACAGATGGGCCTAGGAGAAGGTTCAGGAGCCTGACTAAAGTTTTTGTCAAGCAAAGAAACTTTGTGTGAAGTGATCGAATAGTAAATGACAAAAAAAGATAAATAATGTGAAGAGGCAGTTCATAGAAGAGTAAATCTAAATGACCAACATGCTTATAAAAATGCTCCAGTTAGGGAGTAGTCTGGGAAATGCAAATTAAGGTAAACAGTAAGTAAGGTAGAGTTTTACATTTAGCAGACTGGTGTTAGCAATAGGTGTGTAAGATGATAACACTGATGACAAGAATATAGGAAAAGGGTTCTCAAACGTTGTTGAAAATTAAGTTTGTTGCAACATGTATGAAAAGAAATTGAGTAAGATATATTAAAATTAAAGTGTATATATACTTCAAGAAATCCCACTCTTGGAAATATAACTTAACAGAAAAAAAATCAATATTATATTAAAAAATATGTACAAGAATAGTTGTTGGCAGAAAACTGGAATGCATATCAATAGAGGAATAGTTACATAAATTGTTACTGAAAAAAGCAAAATAATAAGATGACTAAAGAAAAGTCAAATATGTAATATCACATTCAGAGATTTATGTAAAATATATATATATACAAATTTAAAAATAAATAATTCTGGGAAAAACATCACAGAAGTCTTCCTCTTTGAAACTAGAAGTACCTTTGCTCTGTTAATCATTAAAACTAGGCCAGCCTCAGAGATCTTGAATCCTTAATGATTCTGCACAACATATCTTTACTTTAGCTAACTAGTATTTGTGTTCTGTAAAGCGTTAGCTGACATCACATGAATGAAGAACTCAGAACATGAATTTTCCACTCTTCACTAGTCACTGCAGTTTCAACTTCTCAACTTCAACTTTCTGTCACCAAGCCACTAACCCCTGGGGAAGGGTCAATTTTTACTTAACTTCCAAAACTCAGCCCAATTGTTGAGGCTCCCACTTTACAATCCTGGACCCACAATGATAGTTGGGGACCATGCAGAGAAATAGAGATGTTGTTTCAAGTTGGAATTTGTATTATGCTTTCCCTTAGAAATACTTTATAAATTTGTACTAGAAGTTCAGGTAATATAAAACATTAGGTACACTTTTGAGGATTAGTCTGGGAGAACAACCACGAGCTGTAATCCCGTTTTTAATGGAAAATAAAGTATAATGCACACTAAAAAAGCAATTTACAAATTAACTTTATGAAAACAAGCTGTTTGTAAATTGGGGACTACCTTAGGAAAGAATCTTATAAATGATAATGCTCGTGCAGATGTTAAACCTGAGGGTGATCTGATACTGACTTGTGGAAGGACTTGGCTGTTACGATTGACTAGAATTATTTTCCTTTGATCTTCACTGCTGCCTTTGAGATTATCCTGGATCTCTCTACTAATCCAAATTGACCGACCTTCCAAGGTAGACTGGAAGCCTCTTTTTCAGTCAAAGCTTTATTCATATTTGGTTATTACAATTGTTAACAGTTATTTCTGCTGCAGGGTTCGGCTCTGAGCTTTTACCTGTATTTCCAAGCCTTAATAGGAACCAGGGGTTATATGAAAGTGGAAGCAGAAGTTAACATTTACTGAGCGTCTAATATGTGTTAAGTTGTTTCATCATTACAGTAAATATGAAGTAGGTATCTCACATGAGGAACAGGCCTTCACAAGTTTAATTTTTTAGGATCAAGTAAGCAGTGGAGCAAGTTTTGAAAATATGGATAATAATTTATTCATTTTTAACTTTTATTTAAGTATAACATATATAGTAAACAGTTCGTAAGTCAGAAGTGTTTAATTGTCGAATTTTCCCAATGGGAACACACTCTGTGAAACCAACTTCCAGGTCAAGAAATAGAACATTACTGGAATCTGAGAAGCCGCCCCGGTGTGTGCTTTCACTCACTATCCCCCCCACCCCACCAAGGGTAACTTGACTTCCAACACTTCTCACGTCAAAATAGTTAAAATTACATTAGTTTTGACTGTTTCTGAAATTTATACAAATGGAATCATAGAGTATGTATTCTTTTATGTCTGGCTTCTTTCTTTCAACATTATGTTTGGGTAATTCATTGATCTTGTTACATGCAGTTGTAGTTTGCTCATTCTCATTACTGTATAATATTTCATTGTTTAAATATACCGCAGTTTGCTTATCCGTTTTACTCTTAGTAGACATTTGGATAATTTCCAGTTTTTAGCTATTATGAATAGTACTGCTATGAACATTCTTGTACATACATGTCTTTTAGTGCACAAATGTATACATTTCTGTTGGATATATATACTTCAGAGTGTAATTATTGTGTCATAGGATTTGCCTTAGAAATCTTTTTTTTTTTTTTTTGCTGTACGTGGGCCTCTCACTGTTGTGGCCTCTCTCGTTGTGGAGCACAGGCTCCGGATGCACAGGCTCAGTGGCCATGGCTCATGGGCCCAGCCGCTCCGCGGCCTGTGGGATCTTCCCGGATGGGGGCACGAACCCGTGTCCCCTGCATCAGCAGGCGGACTCTCAACCACCGCGCTACCAGGGAAGCCCAGAAATCTTATTTTTTTTATTTTTTATTTTTTTTCAGAAATCTTATTTTTAATTGCCAGTTTTCCAAAGTGGTTTTACCATTGTACACTCTCACTGGCAGCACATGGAAATTCTGATGGTCCACATTCATGCTAATAAAGGCACTTTTGAAACCAGGTTGCTGATTCTAAAACCCAAAGCCCTTTTCCTTTCACCTAAATCTCATTTAAAGGTAAGAACTTGGTAACAATTTTCTTTTATAAATTCCATGATTCTTTCTAAGGTTTTTAGTCTTTGTTCATTAAGTGAGTTTCCTTTTTTATACTGGAAAATATATCTGTGCTGAATAGAATTTAGTAGAGTTAGCAGTGTATCAGAGGCCTCATGTAAGTATTCATCTTCATTGAACCCAGCCTCTTCTATTTTCTCTGCATGGGTGAAAAGAATGGCAGTGTAATTCTTCCAAGCATGTCCCAGAAGTTCCTGAAAGAGAGAAGTTAAATGACTATTTGCCTTGGACTATATTTCTCAAAGAAGAGCTGAGGAGTTATTATGGTTTAACACAGTCAATAGATCTGTACCTCATTATGTTTCTAAAAGCTGGAATATATAATGGAAATGATGATGGGGTCAAGTAATGTAAGCACATGGACAGAGATGGGTGGGCTTTCTATAAAAAAAGGCTTTAGTTCTCCATTTTATTTTGTTGTTATAATTTATGTATATACAACCTCAAAACTGCATATTATCAATGCTGCATATGATTTAATTACATTTGCAGCATTCATTTATACTTGTCTGTCAACCTGAATCTTTTAGAACCACTGAATTCCTTTGTCAGAGCACCTTGCCAAAGGGAATTGTCATATCTCTTTCTGTAGGAATGTTGTGTTATCATCATCACTGAAAACATTTTCTAAGGATTTATAATTACATAATCTGGTTACAATCTGTCAATTAATCAGATGACATGTAATGGAAATGCTAAGATCAAAATACATTTGGTAATTTGGAGCAACTACAAAATATTACTGTGACTCGCATCCTCTTCACATACCTGGAATCAAACCCAGTTTATCGGGTGACTTCCTCTAATGTGGGTGAATAACACTGCAGACCGGTATTCCTTTGTTTAGTAATATGTAGAAGTTGGTTATGTAATAAATTCTTGTTTGATTAGTGCAAATGAGCTGATATAAAGCAGAAGTAATAGCACATGGCAGATTGCTCACGCAATATGAAAGGCATCTAGAAATAACCATTTAACTTTTTTGAATATTTCCAAAGTTATATGAAATCATGACAATGTGACAGTAAAATTCCTTCCATTCCAAACACTCGCATAAAAAAAATATTTCCAAAGCTGCTACCAGTTTATAATAGCAAGAGAAGTATTAAATGCTTAGGAATAAACATAACAAGGAATATCCAGAACATCTAATAATTAAAAGAAAGAAAGACGGGAGAACAACTAATATTTAGTGCTGGATATTATGCTAAGTGCTTTACATACTTTATCTCTTTTGAAGCTCAACATGGTGATTTGTGAGAGATACCATTATGATATAGAGAAACTGATATATAAAGAAGTTGAGTACAAACAGGCATTAGCACAAACTCTAGTTTATAAAAATCTTGAAAAAATTGAATGGCAGTTTGGGAAACTGTTTTGAATGAATATAGGATTCATATTTATAATATTGAACAACTGAAAAAAGATGAAAGGAAGAAGAGGGAAAGACAGCGGGAAAGAAAGTAAAAGGAAGGCAGGAAGAAAGAGGAAGGGAAGGAGGGAGGAAGGAAGAATCAGGACATGTAAATCTAATATGAAAATACAGGAACTGTGGGACAATATATTTAAATTAGAAACATCTCAAGACTGGTTACCAATTATAACTCCTAACACAGTCTGACTTTTATCAGAGCTATTCATTTTCACATTTATTTCTATAACTTGGCTATGACCTCTTTGAAGGCAAAGTCTATGTCTTTCTATATCAATCAAAGCCTCTAATATGTTGTAAACTCTCAATAAATATGTTGTATTAATTTGGAATTTAGACCCTCACCATCGTCTCAAATAGAAGGTTTAGGGTTTTATTTTTTAATTTTGAGCCCTCAATTTTGAAATTTAATCTTTGGGACACAAAATTGTACTTTCCTGTAAAACTTTTCTACTCTAGTTCATTATCACAAATTCGCCTGTAATCTGCACTTTCTATTTTGTATTCAGAGGGACTCTCTCAAGGTATACGTCCAAAATTTTTCCTCATATCTGTTCAAAATGTGTCTGTTTACACCATAGAATAATTGTATATTTCTAGTTCTCCTGAAATGCCCTGCTTCAAGAAAATCCTCAGACATTTCCAGATCAGTACATTAGGGAATAATTATTTAAACAGAAAGATTCTGAACTTTACAAAAGAATTTTTCAAAGAAGTACTTTAATTGGCATATGCTTATGTGCCTTTAAAACTCAAAATTAGCAAAACTTTAACCCAAACTTTAAAGAACATAGCTCTTTTATAAATCAAAGTATATGTGCAATGTCAACATCACATTTTAGCTAATAGTGACATAGCAAAATTACCAGACCTTTTCAGAGTTTGTCGTATATTCTATGTACTCTAAGAACACATCTCTTGTGAGAGAGGTCAGAGAATTGCAAAATAAATAAACCATGTTGTGGGTTGAATTGTAACCCCTTTCTCCAAATTGATATGTTGAAGTCCTAACCTCCAGTACCTCAGAAGTGTCTTTATTTGGAAATAGGGTTATTGCAGATGCAATTAATTAAGATCATTAGGGTGGGACTCTAACCCAATGTGTCCTTATAAAACAAATTTGAACAAAGACATGAATACAGAGAGAACACCAGGTGAGCATAAAGACAGCCATCCATAAGCCAAGGAGAGAATCCTTGGACAGATCCTTCACTCACAGCCCTCAGAAGGAATTAACCCTGCTAACACCTGTTTCAGACTTCCAGCATCCAGAACTGAGAGACAATAAATTTCTGTTGCTTAAGCCAGCCAGTTAATTATACTTTTTATCACAGCCCCAGCAAATTAATCCAAATGGTTGAAAAATTAATGAAGTGCTAAATATATCAGATTTAGGTTCTGGGAATAGAGATTTCTGGGCCATTTACATCAGAATCACCTGGGATGCTTGCTAAAAATGCATCAAAATCTTTAGGGGTGGAGCTTGGGAATGTGAATTTTAAAAAGCATGCTAGGGGCTTTATTCCTTCTGCAAATACTTATTGAGGGTCTACTTTGTTTTGGGGACAAGGAGTGGTACAAGACAGGTACATTTCCTGCTTATATCTAGTGGAGATTCTTGTTTACTAACTAAAGTTAGGTCTAAGGAAGAGGGACAGACAGGAAAAAAATACTTTCAGTTTGTTGTAATCGCAAGTGTTATGATAGAAAATATATTGGCACTACAGAGGCAAACATTTAGCCTAGTTTTGGATGGGAGAGGTGGAAAGTGGGGGTAAAGGGAGGGGGTCAGAAAAAGTTTCTAGCATGTGGTGATGCCTCGAGCATAGGAATTAACAAAGGAGTTCTCAGGCAGTAAAGACATACCAAGTAAAGAAAGTGATTGAGCATTATTGGGAATTGTATAGTATTGGGATTTTATTTCTATACAACTATTGATCCTTCATCACTCTTGTCTCTAGAAGTTTCTCAAATTTAGAATCAGACCTGGTATTCACTCAGCACATTATTGATGTATTCATATTGATTGTCAGGTTATTGAAATGTTTAATACACGTTAATAAATAGCTACTGTCCTTAACCCCTTGAGTGTTACCCCCAGACCTGTTCCCTGGGTATTGGCTGATGCAGGGGCTATATTTATTATTAACTATTTTTACAACATCACCATAGTAAAAATTCATGCTAAATAAACTGTTTGGCTCAAATGGTTCTCTCCTGAGTTATATATTATAACATAGACTTCTCCTCTTGCTAGGTTAGTACCTATTGCATTAAAGGGCATAACATTCACAGTATGTTTTTAGTTCCTGGCTTTCTGTATTGTAACATTAACATGTTGCCTCTTTGTCTCCACCAGACATCTTCTGTACTTTAAACCACAATATCATTCAGGAAAAATGAGTTAAAGCGCCTAATGATAATAGATTTGTAAGCTTTACACCACTTACAAGTCCATGTGTTCAGCCACTGCAAAGTTTTTACATGTTGATAACTATTTATGAAAGGATGCTCATGTCCTAAACTGTGAGAGAAATTGCACTTTTGAATTACTGCCAAAAATAGAAGAGAATGGTTGATTTAGCTTATATTCTTTAGATTGATTTTTGGCCAGCAAATAGTTGAATATTTGAAAGTAGTGTCACTTGGTGTATAGTCATCATGTTAGTGGCCAAACATTCTTTATGGATCCAGAGAAAGAATAATCACATTTGATTGATACCTCACATAAAAAATCCAAAAGAAAGATAAGTTAATGTAAGTTTCTGGTGTTAATAATTTAAATATAGTACTAAGCTAGATGGAAATTTTACAATCAATCATGAGTTGTTTGGTTTCATAGTGCTAATGGGTATGAGTCCATCTAGTCCTTTTGGGACAACTAGTTAGGATATAAACTTTGTTTTCCAGGAATTACGTTCATTTTCCCAGGACCTCACCAGCCCTGCCCCACTTGTTTGTGGTTGATGAAATCATAGCATCTGGACATTTTAGGGGAAACTTTAAAAAAAGCCAACTATTACATCAACTGAGAAAAAAATTATCATGGATCAGGAGGACAATAAGGACCATTCTTTATATTTTATGCTATTCCCTTATTCTCTTCCCACTTCGAGCACCACATTTGCCTTCTTAGAGAGCCAAAGCTGAATGATAAGCCTCGTTAGATCAGATTCAGAGAATAGTCAGCCTTACAGATCATCTGTCAAAACTGCCTTATTTTACAGATGAGGGTGTTAAGGCCTTGTGATGTTAAATGGCTTGGCCAAAGCCACATAGCTGATTATTGGCAGACTTGGGCCTGTAACAGAGGTTCCTTGAATGGCAGGGGACCCCTGTCCTTCACACTGAATTGGGGCTTCTTAGTTTAACATTACTAAGCCAGTGAATTTTTTTCCCAGATTTTTTTCTAAATAAGGAAGTTCCTATAAATCAGGGCCGTGTAAGTTTTATTTCACTCTTACTTTCTTCTGAAGCCTATCAAAATAATCCCAAAGAAGGCTACAAATAATGTGTCCCAATTTTAGGGTAAAACAAATACTAACAATAAAGTCACAATGATCATAGGTAACATTTATTATGCACTTGCCATGTGCCAGTGTCTGAGTGAATTTACTATTATGTTAATATGACATTAATTCCAAAAGTAACCCAGTAAACTATTATCTTTCCCAATTTACCAATGAAAAGATTGAAGTTTAGAGAAGTTACTTACCCAAGGTTACAAAGCGAGTAGCTAAGTAGGAACTTGAACAACATCTGTAATATGTTGCTTATATCTAGTAGTTCATTTGAATAAGTACTCATCACAATCTAGGTAGTGCTGATGGCAATAAAAACAATAATAGTAATGGCAATTTTCTGCAAACCTACTATGAAACTGCTGTAATTCAGGCACAATGCCAAGCACATTACATTTATTAAATATAGCCCTCAGAACTCTTCAATTAGGTAAATTATCCCCATTTTATAAGTAAGGAACTGAAGCCAAGAAAGCCTTAGTAACATTTATAGTCATATACCTAGAACTGTAACAGGCTTATGTGTCAACTGAATTCTGTAGAACACCTAAGCCCATGATCTTTGTTTGGTATGTTCAGGCCTTACATTGGCCTTTCTGAACCTTCCCTGTGTACACCCATCTGTAACATCAGCAGTTGAGTTGTTCATTCGAAATTAAAATGCATGCTTGAAGCCTGAATATATACAGTGATAATATGTACATGATACCATGATCATGGAAAGAATTTAATCAGTTCCTGGATTCAATTCCTGGTGCACTTTGGCTGCATGCTAGCACTTTCCCTCAGGTGACTTTATTTATGCTCTGATCTATTATTGGGGGATTTTTTAAAAAAATTAAAATGATAGATAACATTCAGATGAATCATTCCCTTTATTTCCCAATTTTGGGGAGATGACTCACTGACATCTCCACCATTTTACTGTAAATTAATGAAGGCCTAACATAAATAAAGAAAAAGGGATCATTTGAGGAACTGTTTCAGTTGTCACAGTTAGCAGCTTATAACCCCTCTGTAAAATATTAGAGCACAAACTGAGAGATATTTAAAGAGACAACAGAGAGGTACAGGAAAGAAGAGGTCACTTCTCTGGCACTAGCCTTGGAGACTACTTCCATGGGAAGCATCAGTGCCCCCAGAAAGGGGGAAAGGAAGAGAGGAAGGCAGATGTTCTGTTCCCCATTTTGCATGAGCCAGGAAGGAGAAATCCAGGGTGTGTCTGAAACCAGAGGACCTTAGCAGCACCTCCTTCCTAACAGCTGCTGGTCCTGTTGAATATTCAGACATTCTGCAGCTCCTTCCAATCTGTGAGCATATCCAGATGGTTGCCACTAGTATCTGAGGCACCTTCAGGAAGAAGGTCATAAACAGCCAGCCTGTGCTTAGGCAATCTTCCACCAAAGATCAAGGTGGTAAGCCCAGAATGGGACTGCAGTGCCTCCTAGGGGTCGAGGCCCCTCTGAGGATTACTAAATCTTGGCTGCTGAGTTCTCCCAGGAGACAGAAGTTATTTATTCTTGAAAAAAATATTCTGGATCTGAGTTTTTCCCTAGCCCATCTCCTCTGTGCCTTCAACTCCTGAATTGGCCGCTGACGTAAGGAAGGCAGCTATAAGAGGAGAAGGCTGTATGCCAAATACCATTTAAAAGGATCAGAGACATGTATGAATCAAATTCACTTCCATAAAAAACAATTAGGGAATTACAATATTGTTCTATATCCTAAAACTGGAAAAAAAATCTATTTTCAAAATGTATGTCTCTTAAAATATCCTGTCTGGACCAGCAGAAAGAAAAATCTGGAGACATATGGAGAGGGTCAGGTTAGTTTTTGAGAACTATTTATGCATTTACTGAATTTAGTGGGTTACATCCATCTATAGCTTAAGCTAAATGTCTATTTAATAGCAACTTTAAATGAATTTTTAAAACTGTTTAAAAATTACACTGACTGTATGGCTGCAGGTCCCCCCCGCCCCCCGCCCCACTTGATTTCTACCAGAAATATTGTTTGAAATGCAGGCTTTAATTGGTTGGGGGGTGGTTTATGGGCTTTCTTAGATTCCACATTGTTTCTTAATTGCAATCATCTTCTTTTCTTCTTCTTTGCTTTTGTACAGAATGTCCTTGATTTTTCAGGAGTTAGATGATGAGGATTATTTTTTATACTCTTGTCACCCTAATTTTTTCCGCTAGTTTCTTGTGATTATACATATGGCTTTTTTTTTTTTTTTTTAGAAACATGCACAGTTACGGAAAAACAAAACGTGTGTCTGTCATTTAGAACAATCTTATGCCTTTACTAGTTAAAGGAAGATATCTTTCTTTAAAGCAAAGTATACTGTTTTTCTAAGTGTAACAGATTCTGCATGAGCATAATCAGAGATGGGACCAAAAGAAGAATAGCATTTATACAAATTCATTTTGAATTAAAAATGTCTACTCTCTATTCTTCACGTAGTTTACTTGTGAAGCTTCTAGGGGAGATGTGTTCTCTGAGCTCAGTGACTTAATGAGGCTACTGAATTAAACTAGTCAAGTCCAGCAGTTGCATTTGGGTGGCCCCAGACTGAAGAATCAAGAAATTGAATAAATGAACAAACAAACAGGGATGAACCACTAGTCAAAAGTGGCATATGTTATTTTTGTTCACCCTGAGGTCCCTGTGATCTTCTCATGGCTGGCATGGAGCAGTTACCCTACAGATGATGAAACAAGCAAAGCTTCTGAAATTCCTGATTTTTTTCCTGTTAATAAAGTATAAGCCTCCCCTGAATACTTACTGAGGTGTAGGTCTCAGTGATGCCTCCTTCACTGAGGAGTTATACATTGCCCTACTTTGGCACTTAATGCATTGTCTTATACTTGTTTATCTATTTGTCTCTTCTAGACTGTGAGCTTTTTGAGACCAGGGCTCATACATTACTCACCAATCATTAAGCTCTGTACTGGTGCTCAATACAGTGTTCAGTGACTGAATCAGACAGTAATGCCCCATTTATGGTGAACTGTAAGAGGTTGTCCCTTGATGTTGAATGGATGCAAGTAAGTATTTTAGTTCAGTGGTTCTAAAACTTCACTGTTTTAGAGAAATATATGGGAAGTTTATGCAAATACAGATAGGCAAGCTCTACTCCTGACATTCTGTTTCAGTAGGCTTGGATGAATCTGCATTTTTAACAAACAGCTCAGTTGATTCTGATGCAAATAGTCAGACCACACGGACAAATCAATCAGATTCACAGTTCTTAGGGGTTTGAGACTTAGTTAACCTCTGAAGTTCAGTATCTCATTTTTTGTTTTGTTTTGTTTTGTTTTCTATGACCCAGTTACAAAATGACTGAATTCCTCTAAAGGAAATTGTAAAAATGACTCTTGGTGGGAAAATCAAGTAATTTTTACCAGTTATTTTTATGTGACCAGCACTTGTTTTAAACTACTTGCTTTAAACTTGCTTTAAAACTACTCTTTTAACCAGTTTTTCATAGTTCTTTCCTATTAAGATAATGTCCTTCAAATGGGAATAATGTCATCAGTGTAATTGCCTCTTTTTTATTACCTGGATCATCTGGACTGGGGAAGATTCTTCCTGTTCACATAGAGGCACATCCACCCTCTGGACCAGCAGTGCAAGGTGCAGACCCTCTTGCCCAAAGTGATGTGCCAGGGCCTCCCTGACCTCCTGCTTCACATGCTTCTTGCTCAGCCTGCTGTGCGGATAACCTGGAGTGTCCAGCACCTGGACCTGCAGGGTTACCTCTTGCCCCCCTCGACGCATGAAGCTGTGGAAGTGACAACTGCGGCCCAGACTGCAATCTTTGGTCACAGAACATGGAGCAAAGCTGCTGTGGAAGTCAGTGCTTCCCAGAAGAATGTTCCCAGCAGAACTTTTTCCACTTTGAGTCATGCCAAAGAGGGCCAAGTTGATGGTCATCTTATTGGAGTCCATCATGGCTGTGGGTAAACAAAGGCTCAGCATAAGCAGTCAGGCTTCTACACTCCCCCAGTGTAAGACTTCTTACCTGGCCTAGAGCACTCCCAAGTATTGACTTTGATTTGCTTTCCCCTTATTCTTAGTGTCTAAAGCATGGAGGAGCTCTCCACTGAAGTGGGGACCCCTCAGTGACAAAGGGAAAATGGAAATAATACTAGTAGTTTGCAGTGGGAGAGGAGAGAGAAATCAAATACAGATAAGGAAAAGAGGAGGAAACAATAATTGCAGGAAAATTAGAAAAAATATTACATGAAGATGGTGTAAACCATGTTTAGGTGGAATACGTTAACTCATCAATGTGACAGGTGAGTTGGTTTAGAAATGGGGTCCTGAGGTCTCTCAGTTCAGGAACAAAGGTAGCAGCAATATTTGAAAATTATTCACTCTTGGAGAAGAAGAAGGAACAGTACAGTGGAAGAAATGGCCCTTCTTGCATTTTAAACAACGTTCTGCACCTCCCTACTCCCTACCTCCCCACCCCTTGAATATACAAGTGGCATCTGCAAAAAATTATCTTTCCTGACTTCCTGAATACTTCGGTCCTATGAAACATGAATAATATTAAAGGAAGACTTCTGTTCCTGTTTACTAATTTTTTAACAACTAGCCAACATTCTGATGAAAATGAGAACTACTTGTAATATCTGTTATGAAATAATTAAACAACTCCATGGTTCATCATAGTTAAGTATTGGCTCTTCAATGAAGAAAAGAAAGGCCAACACATTGTGCAGTTCAGTTAGGAGGGAGGAGAACCTGGGGAGAATCTATTTCATTTACAGCACCCCTAAAATGTAGTTATTTTTGTGCAGAACATAAGCCCCTTATAGCATTTTAAGGTCATCCATCATTTTCATTAGATTGATAAGGCAGAGCTACTGACCAATTGCCAAATGTACTCAAGCTGCTGATTCAGAAATAAAGACATTTAATATTGCATATTTATTATTTTTGCTTATAACTTGTACTTCAACTATAAAGTTTTATGTACCGCTGACCTTTCTTGTCCCCTGATGCCCCTCACCCTACTCACTCCAGACCCTAATATGAACATATTGAAGGAACCTCACACCCTCATACAAAAGACACTCACCTTAGGGGTCCCTGAAGGTGACCCCAACTCACCAACTCATTCAGCTGTGTCAGCTGCACCATAGACACTCAGATTTCTTTTTACTCCTGAATTAGATGTGTGATTTTTTTCAAGAATTAATTATGGAATCACAACCGATTTGCTCTATGTCACTTACCTTTTCCAATCTTAAAAATGTTTTCTCCACAGACTTCCCTCAAGCTGTTACAGTTATGAACTTCAACCTTCTGGCAGTGTCACTGTACCACTCTGAGACTGATACTGTATGTATTTTATTTAGTTAATCTATTACCAGAATCCTCTCTATAAATGATTAGTTGTCTTCCTCTAATCAGCACTGAGTTTTTTGTGTCACTTGACAGATGTGTAACTGCAATAGGTACTTCCTGAAACTTTTATTTCCAGGATTAACTTCTTTGTCTAAGAGAATTGCTAATAGGTAACAATTTATCTTACAGCCTAAAGAAATGCAGGATTGGCAAGTGTTAAATAGAAAGTAGACATTGAAAAGCAATGATCAAAATTCTTTCCATTGTAATTGACATATTTACTACTTCATGAAAAAGTTTCAACAGATATGTAATATACATGCAAGAGATATTGACTTCATAACAGTATTTAGTTCATAAATTCAAAAGTTCTTTAGGAAAACTCTCTTGGCTATTTCCATGCAATTGAAATTTATTATTTGATGTGATCACTAGCATGATTATATCAACATATACAGTTTCCATATCAATTAATGATAACATATTTCAGAAAAGGAGTACTTAACTATGACTTAAGGCCAAATAAATTTTGCTTAAAAATGGGGGTTTTATTTTGTTATTAAAAGATTAAATTTGATTTTTCCACTTTTTAGTATATAACCCATATTTTCCAACATACTTTCTTAGTTTGTAAGTTGTAGAAACCTTCATATCATTATATTCTGGTTCATCTTCTCCTGTACCTCTCAAAAAGTCTGTGAAGTATGTATTTCTGTGTGAAGGAATTTTGGAGACATCTGGAATGCTTTATGACTTCATGGGCAGAAAGTTTAAAAGTCTTCTTCCTGTGTGGATATGACAAAGAAAACACAAAAGGGATTTATTCCTCTGACAAGCACATTTGGCTTTCTTGAATGAAGCAGAAAGAACCTCCCCCAGGTGGCAGTAGCAGCCTGTTTCCTAAGAAGTGATTTCGAACCAGAATTTATTTTCATTTTCTTCCGCAAACCATAAACTGACATTCTTCAATTAGGCAATTTATATCAACACATATTAATTGTGTGGAAAATCTTTTGAACAAAGGCAAAACTAAGCCTTCTTTCCTATGTCCCTTATAGAAAGTGACTAGTATAGAAAGTCTTTAGTTTTCAAAGTGCCCCCTTTGAAATCATAGTTTAAATCATTTGCTGAGTGAAACAGTTGATGGCTTAAAAAATAAAGTTCAGAGCTCATATTTGTAGTGAAAAGTTCTAATGAGACTGCAGAATTTAAAAATAATTTTCAACAGATTTAATGGAGGTTTAAGATCTGTGTCAATTTAGAGATCATATAGAAGGGTAATGTATTGGTATTTGATGATGTTTAATGATTGATGTTCATTCTTTTTGAATCAGGGTGAAAAGACAACTTGAAATATTACCTTCACTCTTTTCAGTAACTTGGCTAAACAATATAGCAGGGATAACTTTAACAGCTGGCTCCAGGATTTCTCTGAGGAAGGGAACTGTCTTTGAGAAAATAGTTTGATTAGCTACTTGAGGTAGAAAAGGGGATCCTGAGAGCATGAGCCGAATTCACTAACAATGATGGTCAAACTGCTGGGGATGAGGGAAGAGCCAAAAAAAAAAAAAAAAGAGTAGAGATAATCAAGGTATATATAAAGGAGGGGAGAGGAAGGAAGGGAGGGAGGGAGGGGTGGAGAGAGGAAAGGTAAGAGGGAATGATAGAAGAGAAATGAGAAGGAGGAGGAGGAGAGAATAAGAACTATAACATTAGAACATAAAAGGAAACTAGAGCTCCCACTTGTGGAAATGGCTAAGTGACTATGTTAGAGCAGAGATAGCTAATGTTCAATTTTAACTTTTTACATTTCTGGGATGTAAAGTCAGCCGTGTTCACAATTCCCGTGTTCACAATTACCTTTTTATTTTTGTTTTGTTTTAGGTTGTTCTTATCCTTTTACCTTATTTTATTTTGATGGAAGTTAATAGAAAGGCCTGAGGTCCATCTTAGGTTAGCACAGGACAAGGACCACCAACACTGGAGACTGTAAAATGACATCTGAACTAAATCAGGAGAGGAAGGAGGTTGAAGCTAGGACACTAATCCCTAGGCACTTGCAGGAATCTATGGGAGGACCTTGAACTTTCCACAATCTATGAAATGAGATATTATGTGGTAAGGGTGACTCTAGATGACATAGTAACAATTATATTTTAAATTACACACACACATGCACACACGTGCGCACACACATGCATACACTTGGGCACACATGCACACACACACTGTATTAGTTTGCTAGGGCTGCTATAACAAAGTGCCATAGACTGAGTGGTTTAAACAACAGAAATTAATTTTCTCATAGTTCTGAAAGCTGGAAGTCTGAGATCCAGGTGTCAGTGGGGTTGGTTTCTTTGGAGGCCTTGCTCCTTGGCTTGTTAATGGCCATCTTCTCCCTATGTCTTCACGTGGTCTTTCCTCAGTGTGTCTGTGTCCAAGTTTCCTCTTTTTATAAGGACACCAGTCATACTGGATTAGGGCCCACCATAATGACTTCATTTTAACATAATTACCTCTTTAAAGGCCTTATCTCCAAATACAGTCACATTCTGAGGTACTGGGTGTTAGGACTTTAACATAGGAATTTGGTGGTAGGGGAACATAATTCAGTCTGTAATACACACACTCACATTTATATCAAATGTTAATATGTCTGTGTATGTGTGTGTATATATATATATACACACGTATATTTATATAATTATGTAAATTATGTCTCATACACACATGTATTAATGTGTGTGTATATATTATGTATACATTATAATTGTGTAAATTTTATGTCTCTATACTCAGTAAAACTGTCTCTATACTCCATAAAATTGATTTAGTATAAGTAGTTCTCGACTTCTGGCAATTTGGTTTAAAGGCACTCTCACAATTTTAGACAAATTCCAGTTTGCATTGACTTGAACTGTGAACCCCTTGCTCGTATGTTATGTCTTTTCGTAGTAAAGAAGACCCTTCACGTGATAATCAGAATCTGTATTTATGATGTCTAAATGATCTTAACCTCGGCCAGCACTGCTCCAAGTCAAAGGGAACACTGACAAGCTGGCTGAAGTTGGTGGTGACTTGATTGATTCAGTCTGAGCTGGTCTTAGAGTAAGACGTCAGAGTTCACCTTTCAGAAAATTTCAGAGAACACTGGTCAGCAGTTTAAATTTTCCAAATGGTCCTAATTTGAATACAGTTTGAAAATTCTTGGAACAATGAAGAATGCCCATATCTGGACAGAAATATTGCTGGGAATAGGAGGTTTCAGTCCAGATTCGGTTGGCTTCACATTTTAAAGACTCTACCAGTCTCATCCCCACATGGGAATGTTTATGATATTTTGGGTTTTGTTTGATGTTGTTGCTATCGTTTTTTGTTTGTTTGCTTTTTGTTTTCCTTCTGAGTAATTCTGATGAATTTTTTAGGATTATAAATTAAATATGCATATTTTTAAGCAGCTAAGAAATTTGTAAATGAACACAGAGAAAAATAGGATCATTTAAAAATCTTTATTTCCTGGTGCCCATGGGCCAGTTGCTTCTCTTGGAGAATGACACAGTAAATACATTTCTTTTTCCAAACTACTCATGTTCTCC